TCAATATAAAAAGGTATACATAGCGTAATCATCTCCATAATGTATACAAATGAAAAGAATCATTGTCAAAAGTGAATAAAAAAAACGAAAGCACATTAGGGGTCATAAATATATTTAAGCGAGACAAAATTTTCTTCAGAAATCTGTTAAACTTCTTTTGGGGAAGACTAGAATAAAAACATCAAAACCAGTTTTATTGCCGGATGCAATCTGAAGACGTTTTTAACATTTCCCATCTCTCAGTTTCTTAGCACGTTTTGATAATTTTAATCTCACCTTTTTCATTAATGATTCGTCACGTTAATTTAACGATTTTTCCTCACTTCAATAATAACTATCGAAGGGAAAATGTACACATTTTTGACTTTATTTTAAGCAAGGTTCTATAAATATTAATGTTGGTAATTGTGGAACACCATGCAGTTGTACAAAATATACCAGGCATGCATGGTCAATAAGGATGTCGTATGTCATTTGGATTTAAATTATAGTTTAGTAAGGAACAAGCAAAACAAGTGGACAATTTAGTTCTCGAAATAACAATTAAATATGATTTCATGTTAAATGCAAAAAAAATGCTGTAATTCTAAAACATTTCATTTTAAAACTGTTATGATAAACTAAACCTCTTACAATTGTTAAAGCATGCAAAACATTCAATTCGTAAATAATTTTCTAGAATAATTACGAAATAAGATGAATGTGTCAATTTTAATCTTGACAAATAAAAGTCAATTTAACATGACGATACTCGGAATTAAATATTCATTTATACATTTGTTTCAAACTAGTACAATTGTCAATAGTGTGATATATTAATAAGTAAGATTTCAAACTGATTTTAAACATATTATATTTTATGATTAAAACTAACAACAAAATCAATTTACTTTTAGAAATCAAATTTCAGACACACCAGGTTGGTGAAACACACTATACACCAAGGAATGCTTGAGTAATAAAAATGTTGTGCACGCCATTCTGATCATTCGATAATAGCTCTGCAACATGTCATAGAAGTTAGGCGGATTTCAAGAGAGTAGTTCATTAAAATTTTAAAAAATGACATATTCATAAGTAAGATTTCAAACTGATTTCCTTAAGGCTAAACATTTCATATTTTATGATTTAAACTGACACCAAAATAAATTTACTTTTATAAATGAAATTTCAGATAAATCACGTTGGTGATACAGACTATATATCAAGGAATGTTTGAGCAGTAAAAATATTTGCGCACACAACTCTGATCATCTGATAATAGCTCAACATGTCAAGAAGTTAAGCTGATTTCAAGAGAGTAGTTCATTGAAGTTTAAAAGAAAAACTGACGTATTCAAAAGTGAGAATTCAAACTGATTTTCGCTAAGCTAAAAATTGTGTACCGTATTATTAAGATTGACACTAAAAATAATTTTTTTTTTGCAAATAAATTTCACAGATCACGTTGGCAAAACACAATATCCATATAATTGTGCAATAAAAATCTTTTGCACGCCGTTCGCATAATTCAATAACAGATCATAACAAGCAAAAAGTCAAATTGACTTGAAGAAGTTAAAAAAACTTCAAGTTCTAAAATTAAAATTGTTCTAAACAATAAAACTCTTCAACAAAATGTAGAATAGCACATTTCTTAAGAATATGCCATCTACCAAGAATCAAAAATATTTGTTTGAACAGTAAAATTATTCATTTAAGTTAAAAAATGTTCTAAATTTAAAATTGTTATAAAAATTATTCCCCGTAAACACAGTATCGAACAGCATACTTCTCAAGAATAGTCCATCCACCTAGATTCATAAATCTTTGTTTAAAAAATTGATCGTATACATTGTCCATAAAATGAAGGATCGCATCGAGTTGAAAGTCTTGATCGCGCTCCATGAAATAGTTTGCTATTGTCACTGTGATTGCACAAAACCTGAAGAATTCTTTGACAAACTCTCCTTCTCTGAATGTTGATCCAGCGAGCATCAACAACACCTTGCTCATTCGACCTCTGGGGCGAACTCTGTTGATTTGCAAAATTATATCAATTCTATGGCGTGTTTTGTATTTGAGAATGGCCTCGCCTATTTGAGTTTGGAATATTTTGCTTCGTTTGGAACTTGCCATTGCCATCATCGTCCATTGATGACCCAATCTACTCATAGAATAGCTGAGGAGATCGTGGAAGAAAGCAGAATGCTGCGTTTTATCCCAAAGAAGTATATCATCCCTGTTTCGCTTCTTGTTTTGGTCCCGATTAATTAATTGGTGGTGCATAGTAACGAATTATTTGTTTTTAATTATTTTACACGACGGGAAGCAGTTGGTTTCAATAAAGCTTTGCCAGGGCGATTTTGGAACGTGACATGACTGCGCTTTTAGCTCACGTTGAGGAGAATAAAAAATGATATAATATAGTTTAATCCTTTACATCGCTCTAGAGCTATCCTAATGAAATATTGGGAGTTTGGCATTCATGCTTAAGGGGATTAATGCACAACGTGTGTTTTTTTTAGTACAGTCAAAACTTTAATATTTACTTCATTTTTTTTGAAAGCCGAGCTTCATACCTGCAGAGGAACTGACATTTTATGTCTCGCTCAAATTACGTAATCGAATCGGTTGAACCTTTTTCCAGGTTAAGAAGACTGTGACAAAAAATCGCATCAGCAATTAAAAGACTCCTCCCATGACACGTTGCCCATTCGGGCACATGCACGCATTACACTCATGCAGCAAATGGCAAGGAATGCTATCATGCCCTTGCAATTTTAACGGAAAGCGAATTTTTGTTTAAATCTGATTTCCTTTACATTTATTTATTCGCAGTGAACTGATCGTTTAGACACAGTTCGCAGTAAAACACCGAAGTCAAGCATCACTGGCTGCGGTCAGTGTGGGGGTGGGTGATAACTTGGATCAGTCGACGAAGGGAGCGAGGTTGTTCGGTATTGGTCCTCGTTAAACTGTTCATCATTTCATTTAGATTAGCTCATCATTTCATTTAAGATTTCGTGTCCCGCAGTGGACTGATTGCTTAGACACGGTTCTCAGTAGATCATAGAAGTCAAGCATCACTGGCTACGGTCAGTGTGCGGTGGGTGACCACTTTGATCAACCTGCGAAGAGATCGAGGATATGAGACATTGGTCTTCGTTAAACTGTTCTATCGTAAAGTGCTCTTTTCGCACGCAGGTCATCGGGCTACCGAAGTGGGGAGTGGGGCAACCACTCTGCAGAGGATCGAAATTGTGTTGGCATGTCTTCGGATCATTCTCACCAACAGTCCACAGCGCAGCTTTAGTGCGACGTAAATAAACTACAACAACAAATGACTTCAAGGCACGAACCCGTTACATTTTGTGTCACCGTCCGAGACCTCAGTCTCTCACCCATCCTAGACACACACATCTTAATACACTTAATACCTTCATTCCAACTCCAACTCAATGTTTGTGTATGCAGTCTTTCTACTATCACCGAATATAAATCATCGGTTTATTGGTACAACATGCATTTGTAGGTTTGTGTGCTCAATTCAGACTTATAAACTTTTGTCAAGTAGAGGAACAGATAGTAAAATACTGCCATACAATTGAAAAAACAACGTAAGTAAATCGTAAATCGATTCCGAGAAAAAAGGTTTGAAACTATCTTCTTTCTATTGCTAATGCCATGAACACTAAAATACAATTTCAAAAAAATAAGGTCCCGTAGTGGACTGATCGTTAAGACACGGTTCCCAGCAGATCAACGAAGTCAAGCATCACTGGCTACGGTCAGTGTCCGGGTGGGTGACCACTTGGATCAGTCTGCGTAGGGACAGAGGGTGTGCGGTATTGGTCCTCGTTAAACTGTGCTACCGTAAAGTGCTCGACTTCGCGCGCAGGTCGTCGGGCTACCGAAGCGGGGGTGCCATCCCCTCCGCAGAGGATCAAAATTGTGAGGATTCGTGAGAAGCTCATCATCAGGGATGTTTCCCAGACCGTCGCCAATAGCCCATTGTGCAGCTCTAGTGCGACGTAAATTAACAACAACAAAAACAATAAAAAAAATAAGAAAACGATATTTATTTCAAAATAATTTTTTTGGTAATATATATGTAGCTTACCAAAGACGTCAAATATATGAAAATCTCGATTTTGAATTTTTTGTCGCTTACGTTGATTTTTTAATCGCACAGCAGAATACAGAGAAGGACAACACGAAGATAAATCAAAGGCAACAGGGGAATTCTAACCCCATTACCTCCACGCTTCGCACAATGATTGGCGGGTGATACCGCTCGGCCAGGGTGGATCATTGTAAAAGATCCTCAACTCAACTCAACTCGACCATTGTTTGAGGTCTTGCTTTGTTATAAATGCCCACTGATTCTTAACCAGTGCGTGAGGACCTTTGTTTCTGGAGGAGTTGACAGGATCGAAGGTCCGCTCGGACGTGTCGACTTTAAAACTTACTGTGTTGATCGTAGTAGTGTTAGAGTTGGAGTTTTCAATTGGAGATTGATGTTTTCCGAAGCTTTTTCATGAAGTCAGTTGGTTAATAACTAGGTTTTAGCGAGAGTAATGTGACTAAAGAAAAGCCACGTTTAAGTTTCTATTTCGAATTTTTATTATTTTCTGAATATCNACGAAATTTATTTCAAAATAATTTTTTTGTAATATATATGTAGCTTACCAAAGACGTCAAATATATGAAAATCTCGATTTTGACTTTTTTGTCGCTTACGTTGATTTTTCAATCGCACGGCAGAATACAGAGAAGGACAACACGAAGATAAATCCAAGGCAACAGGGGAATTCGAACCCCATTACCTCCACGCTTCGCACAATGATTGGCGGGTGATACCGCTCGGCCAGGGTGGATCATTGTAAAAGATCCTCAACTCAACTCAACTCGACCATTGTTTGAGGTCTTGCTTTGNCACTCACATCACCTCATCGTCATCATCTTCAGCATCAACAACTCAACTCACAAAAATACACCTTACAGCAAGGGGGATAAAAGCGAGTAGCAGAGATCCCCCCCCACATCATCATCAACAATTTGCCTCCCCCACATCATCATCAACAGTAAATGCCCACTAGTCACCTGAGCGTTTGCAGTTTTCGATCTTTACTTTCAGTTGATCTTACAGGAAGCGTGCTGTTTGCAAGAATGGAAGCGTAAGAAATCTTTTTTTAATTAAATCATCGATTTATTGAAAGATATAATTGTTTTAAACAGTTTATAATGTTAAATATCATAATTAAATGAAAACTAAGAGATGTAATTCTACTCCTTTTTAAAGCTTAAATTTGAACGTTAAGCATTAAATTAAAAGCTCTTTTTTTTTAAAAGTCTTTTATTTAATTTAAAGAGACAATTTTTAAACTGCAGGTAAACTGAATTGTAAGGTTTTTCAAGAATTCTTGTAAGTTTATGCGCTGAAATTTATTGAAACTAGTCTTCAAGAGTAGAGAAACTCTTTTTTACTAAGTTGTTCTGTATCTGCCAAAATTTTATGCTATAATAAATTTTCATCTCTTTAGATCTAAGGCAGTATCACTGAGCTTTGAATATGTTGATCCAACTGGAGGAGTAAAAGACAAGAAAAGTCCTGTCATCTTTCTACATGCTATGCTCTGCTCAAAAGAAATATGGAGTGATATTCCTAAGACTGTAGCTAATATCACAGGCAGAAGAGTGAGTATCCAATTCTAGATGTTTTTTTCCAGTCTACATTTGTATGCAAACGTAAATAAACTTGTATAAACAATCGGGAGATTTTCTTCAAATGTAAAATAATAGGGAAAACTATGCTCTTCTATATTTCAGATATTATTAGACTTTAAACTACTTTGATCACTATATCTGAGCAAGTAAACACTGAAGGCTTGACAATCGTTCGGTGGATTTTCAATTAATTGTTCCCTGCATTGTTTAAATATCTATGTGGATTAAAACTTCCAGTTTAAATTTATTCTTAGTTCCAAGGAAACAAATTCGCTCGTCAAATAAATACTAGTAGGAGAGACTTATTCGTTAATTATAAACTTCAGAATGAAGTAAATAAAATTAACTTGTTGGGCTTTGGGTTGGGGTAATTTGGCTTTGGGAATTGAGCATTGTCTCTCTTTAAGGTGATCTAGATTTGAAATTTAGCGACGGCTGGTCTATACGAACTGTCCTCCAGACTAACAATGATTATGTAAAATATACTCAGTCGTAGACGGATTATGGGTTCGACTCCCCTTGCTGTCTGTTAACTGTGGGAGGTCTATGGATTTTTCCCACATCGCGTCATGAAAATGCTGGTTACTTCCATGTCTTCCAGGAAGGCTAGTTTTTCCAACTGCATAATCCAGGAGTTTTCTGGATTTTGTTCAAAAGAGGTTTTGTGGAGTTGAAGATCGATAGCCGTAAACCCAAAAGGGGATCGGCTGTTCTATTCCGGATAAAAAATAAACTAAAAACCGGTATTTAGTTGCCGGCCCTCTTATAGATAGTTCTTGCAAATGTGTGCTAGGAAGAATAATTGTAGTAAACTTCTAATCAAAATTGTTATTGCTAGTGTTATACCTGTTGACTTATCACTTATGAATCTATTTATAGCCAATTACAGATAGGCTTCAAAATAAACTATAATTGAGTAATCTTTAAATGTCTAAATCCTCTTTCTCAGATGTTAGATTCAAAGTTTGCGTTTCTAGTAGTATTTATTCTTAAAGACTTAACTTCAAATTTTGACGACTTTAGTGTAATAATAAGTTTTAATACTTAACAGTTTTACTTTAACGGATTACATTAACAGAGTACTTGAAACTTTATGCGACCTATAATTGATTAGAATCTAAATCATAATAGGATGTTATCTCCCTTACTTGCTATTCATTATTTATCATTGCGATTAGTTCTGATATCAAATCAGTACTTGCAATTAAGATTGAAGTTGAAAAATTGGTATATGATTACTTGCAATTAAATTTTACCACTTTGCAATCTACGTAATTTGACTTATCAAAGCTGAAGAATCTCAAAAGTTAAAGATCTTTAGAGCCTCTGAAAATTTAAATACTAAAAATTTTTTAAATTTCTGTTGGGATTGGGTATGCAAATTTCGAACAAAACTTAAATCTTAGTACATTTAGAAACCTATTTTGAGACCTGAATCTTTTGAAGTTCCGTCTCTTTGTTTTATCAGATGAGAATTGTTTCTTCATTCGAAAACTAGGCTTAAAATAGGTAACTTTAAAACTAGCTGTTCAGATATGTATCATTTAAGTTTTTGCTTTTATTCTCTGTATTTTTATATTGACTATGTAAAATAAATTTTCTGTTACTTGGAAGATTTCCTACAGGCAGATTTTACTTTCGGGACATAGAATTTTCTACGAAGAATGATATCCGGAATCTTAAAATTATTATAATAATAATTGAATAATAATTGATAACATAACATAATAATAATAATATAATTGATACATTATATTCATTGAAATAATTCTATTTAACTTAGCTACAAATATTGAACTAAAATTTAAAATTAAAATTTGATAATTAAGTTCAATAAATCAAACATAAACTAGGGAATACGGAAATTTCAAACATATAATTATTTGTAGGTTAACAATTAAGTAAAATTCTCTTAGTCGAAAGGGTGCCCCTATAGGTTGCTTTATACTAACATATAAAAACTAACTCAAATTGTTCAGTCATAGAATATGTACAAAATAGTACTGTTTTAATCAGTTTGCATTAAAATACTTTTAACTTTTATGATTGTTTCTCTTAATCTCAGATTTCAGTTTTTAAAATGACAAATTTTAAAGAATGAAGTTTTTAAAATAAAACTAGATCTATCATTAAAATAATAACTCAATTATTTGTTAATTCTTTACACTGCTTTACACGTGGTGCTTCTGGAAAATAAGTTCCGATACCAAATCACGCTAGTCTTTGTTTTTGGATACACGCATTAAAAGTTGTCGCAAATCGCCAACTTAACACCAAATCGTCTCTTATTGAAAATGATGCATATTCAATAGAATTTTTTTAAATGTTGAAAGATTTTTAGAACTTTAAGATTAGAAAAAACTGTGGTTTAGTTATTTTTGCAAATAAACTATACATAAAAGTACTTTAACTTACATTTTATCGAAGCTATTTCAATGAGAAACCGTAAGAGAGTGACTACGGTTTTGGTATAGTTTTGAAATTTCGGTGAAAAATTTAGTTTGGCGTTATTTTTCGGTTTGGCTGAAAATGATCGATAGTATTTAATAAAAGGACCAGGTTTTTTACTCGTTCTTGTGCTAACAAACTCTACCTTCAATTTAGAATTTTCTTTAAGACATTACTTAATGAAGCTATTAAGTCAGTTTTTAAAGCTGTGTATTTGCCTTTTCAGGTTTATACTTATGATGCAAGGAATCATGGGAAGACTACACATGCCAACGAGTCTGATTTCAGCTTCAGTTTTAATGTTGACGACCTCTTTCTATTAATGGATGAAATAAAAACACAAATGCCAGAGCAAAAGCCAGAAAAATTTGTTTTAGTAGGTCATGATATGGGTGGAATGACTGCCATTCGAGCTGCTCTAAAAGAGGTACAATCTTTAGTCTATGTAATTCTCAGATTTTTGATAGTAGTTTCACGCATACGTGGCAGCCACAAACTCTTTGATTAACCCTTTGACGCATAATTTTCAATTAATATGTTTTGCCACTTTTCTATTTTGTATTAGTTTAGGTCAAAAAGTGAAATTATGTCTAGCATTTTAATTTATGGTTATGAAATGTAGCATGAAATTATGGTCTTTTTCTGCATTAAAGGTGAAATCTTCCAAACACTGCTTACAAATTTGTACATATTTGCAGTTATTTATGTCGCGAGAATTATTAGGTGAATTTTTTAATTTACAAAATTATTCACAAATTTTTGAATATAAATGACAATGTTTTTCATTCCTTTTTTTAGATTTTATATTAATAAATATAAAATTTTGATCTTTTTTTTAGTAACTACCAAGCTTGTGTTTTATAATTAAAAAATACCAAAATATATTTAGAGTCAGGAAAACTAAAAAAAGACACCGTTGTCCCATCTGAGTTCAAGGGTAATTCGAACGATGATGCTCGAATTTAGTTTTGAAAGATGGGTATTAAAGTGATCCTTCTGACAGGACATTTTACTTCCATGTTAATCTACGGATAATGTCCGGAATTTCCCTATTCAGAAATACATTTTAGTTACTTAAACTCGTTCTACTGAATTAGCTGCTAATTGTGAAACTTTTTAATGTTTTGATCATTTTTCAAAATATTTACAACTTAAAATCCGGAGAAGTTAAGTAGAAAAATTTCAATGAATATGAAATGTTAGATATGCTATTCACAAGAAATTCCGAACACAGAATTCTTCGTAGGTTAACGTAGGAGATTAAAATCTTGGTCTAAAGCTGACCTTTAAACTGAGAAACTTGTCCTATATCCTAAAAATCTTGCAACTTTTATTACGCGTAAACTCTAAATTCCAAAATATGTTGGTGAAATTTTCTATCGTGTATTTGGTGCCGTAGAAGCATTTTACAGTGAACCAGATCGGCTTGTGAAAAAATCTAAATAGTCTAATGCGTTACTTTGAATTTGCTAAATTACTCTATCTATTCTTATTTTTACATTTGAGCACGTAAAAACTTGTAAATTGCAATGCAATTAAAATTTTCAGTGTAAGGAACAGTCTACCTTGTTGTTGATCTCAAGCTTATTTTAATAACATTCAAAAGTGAGCTTGCTATTATTGATCTAGTATTTGAGTTTATTTAAGTTTCCTAATCTTTTACCATACATGTTTTCAAAATATTCTAATTGAACCCGTTTCTAAACCTAGTCTTTAAACAATGTAAAAATACATTTTGTATTTATGTTTATCATTAAATATTTCACTATTAAAATGCGTTGAGGTATATTTTTTTAAATACAGATATTAAACTTTGACTTCCAAGCGGTTATTTGTCTTACTTCTCGGATTTTACTTTAGTGCTTTGTTACATTAAGATACTTGACCTACAGAAAGTTCGGATTGCAATTTTTCTATAAAATGAAACAATTTTGAGCTTACCTTAACTGTTGAGCTTCTAAAATAGTAAATATAATGCAAATATTAGATGTCATGTTTTGTCACTTTTTACGCAGTAGACTATCTTGCAATAATTGAATTTTGAAAACTATTCAAGGTCCTGCATCTGGTTTAATCTCATCCCTATATATTTAAGCAGATTTTTTTGGTCCATGTGAAATATTAAGTGACGTTTAATTTTACAGATTTCTAAATGACTAAAATTTACTTGAAAATTATGAAGTTACTAAATATTGATCAAATACTTCAAATCTATTTGTAGTAATACTGAACTTTGTTTCTCTTTAGCCTGCTAGATTCGAGATGGTATTTATAATGGAAATGTATGCAAAGCCAGTATCTAACGAACTCATAAAACGTACGAAACAGTTCATGACTACATGGACAAAGTGCGTTCAAGAACTTCCAGAAGGTACCTTAAAAGAGGATGTCACACGACTAAGCGTAGAAAATCTATATGCGAAACTGGAACAGTGGATGGTAAGTTGAAGCCAAAATTTCCAGTTTGTTCCACACGCACCGCATCTGATACGACAGTCTAAGGTGGGCAATGGTCTTCTATTTCATAACCATAGTTGAATAGTACACCACCCCATTCTGAGTTTACTGTCAATGTTCAACCACGTAGCCTTGTAATTTTAAATCAAACTCGGAAGACTCCTGGCTCAAGCATTGGGACAAACTAGCCTTCGTGGAGGATTAAGTGCAACTTACCCGCATTTGTATTACATAGAGGAAAATCTACGACGGTTAGCCAGGAAGAAAGGAGATTCTAACAACCCATGATCATTCTACAATTAAGGATAGTCAGTCTACACTGGGTTCTGTGCGAGTCTGTATCAGAATCATATCTGATTTAACTCATCCTGATCTTCCGGAACTTTATAGCCACTTTTGCATCCACTTTATAGCTTAAACAGTAAATTTAGAGTAATACTTTCTAGACTAACTCTCTTCGGTTATACAAAGACGGTAAACACTTCGCCACTCAGTGCCTAAGCGAAATAAACCTCTAGGCTTGGGAGCTTATTTAGAATTCAGTGCACTTTTAAATACTTTTTGGATGCAGTTGGGAGCAATTATAATGCAAGTTTTTCTTTTTAGTCCTCGTTGAACAGCCTATCCAATTTTTGGGTTTACGACAATTTATGTTAAACTCCGTAGCCTTGTAATTTTGAACCCAATCCAGAAGAATTCCTGGATCGGGTATTAGAATTTTGCCTTCGTAGAGGATTTTTTGATGAAACTAATCCGCATTTGCGTTATATGGAGAGGATGAAAGACAGCTTAGCGATGACTATAAAAGGCACCCTGTAGAATTTAAAGTATACCAAAACACAGCAAAGTCATAATTACGGAAGTAGGCAGGTAACAATGTGTCTGCAGTTAATATTTGTTGTTTTCCTAGCATTTGATGTGCCCTATACGGTTGATTCCATCCGCTCTATCAGCTAACCATTGTACTTAATTTAGCTAGAATCTTATTAACTCTAAACAAACTAAAGACGAACTCTATACAATATTTCTAATGTTTTTGTAATTTTCAGAAAGAGGATAAGGAAAAGGCTTCCTACTTGAAGGGAACGTTTGAGTACAAGAAAACTGCAAAGGGTTGGGATGCATCTTACAACACAGATGCTCTTGCCAAAGCTCTAGAAGACCTTGAGAAACACCAGAAAGATTACCAGGGAGAGTATGATGGGCCTACTTATTTCCTTTATGGCACCGAATCTCATTATAAAATGTAAGTTTGCTTGCTTTGATTTGGTAATTTATCTTTTTATTTAAGTAACTTTGTATTCATAGTTCAACTTTTAATTCTGATTAGCAGAGACTAAAGAGGTTGCGAGATCTTTTAATTCTTTAAAGAACTTAACATTTTTGGTTCTAGTCATGAATTTGAGGTCAAATCGTAAGATAATAGGGAGATCTTTCAAATTTACATTTCCTTCCGGACGCAAGATTTAAAGTAATTGCGCATGCGTATTTGGGCGCATGTGTCAGTTCTGGTGAGATGCGCATGCGTCTGTGGAAGAAATATTAAACTTGCGTAAGTGAAAATAAGATTTTGAAAAAATCCGTTAGTTAATAACTCTAACGTAATCGAATATCACTTTAACTCTGACCACAAAAAACAAACGTATACAATGGTGGTAGATTATGTATTTCAATGAATTCAGCGATCAAGAATGCAGCTTATTTAAAAATATTAAACTTCTACTGATTATTTAACTATATTGCATAATTAAAATAGAATATGTAATTTTAAAATATCGAAAATCTGGAACTAGTGTAATTAGTCAACCATAATGTTAAACTAATAAAATTATTTTTATTGAATGAACTAATGGTTGTAATATCAAATGATTAATTTCTAAATGTCAATACATTTCTTCAAACTCCCATTCCATGTTTTTATTTCGAAGGTAGGCTTAAACAAAACACTTAAAAACTATAAACAGCGTGCTTGTACTTGCGTCTTTGTAGCGTATATCCCACCAACATATCCTACAGCATCTAACAGTTGTTTCAATCTTGCGTACTGAGGATAACGTAGTGTTAAATCTCGTATAAAAATCTCTTAGCAAATCGTTAGAAAATTTAAGTTTTAATCCAAATGCTTTATTTAAAGGCTTTGTTTTATGCTGAAATAAACTTTCAAATAAACACTCAAATTTATCCAAATAAACTTAAGGTGTAACAAAGTGTAAGTGTCTTCCTTTATTCTACTAAAGTTATCGTGCATTTTGAAGGGAATTGGGAACAAAATTCTAAATGTTTTTTCAAATGAATTTAAGTTTTCATCTCTTCTACGCCAGAAAATTAAAAGATTCGTTCTTCCTTAAATTACGGTGATTCTTAACGCTAAACTATTTGGCTTTCATTTGTCCCATAGAAACGATAATTTTTATCAAATTTTTAAAAAAATGTATCTGTTATAAATGTATTTTACGTGTCATTAAACAAGACTTATTTTCTTATTGTAGAAATGAAACAAAGGATTCCATGAAGAAACACTTCCCAAAAGCTGAATTGGTTCCGTTTGAGAATGGATCACACATTTTTGTTGCTGACATGCCTGCTGAACTGGCTAAGACAATTGGCGAAAAACTAAACTCTGTCTAAAGTTTTTAAATTTCGGTAGTTATGCTGTTCGTTAAGAGAAGCTGAAATGATTTCAATGTATAAATGTTTAAATTTATTAAACTATATCATGTTTGAAGATATGTTCATTTAGTTTATTCAGAAGTTTATTTCAGTTTATTTTTCAGAATGGTGTAAGTACCATGTCAATGATAGAAAGTAATGTTCGCCGGAATTATGCGTAACAAAGTTGTAATCAATCTGTATATTTTAAAACTGTCGTTGAACAGCCAACCAAATTTAAAGTTTACGTCTACCAGTGTTAAACTCCGTAGTCTTGTGAATTTGAACCCAATCCAGAAGAAAAGGGAACTCCAGGATAAACTTTGGAAGAAATTTCTCCTTCGTGGATGTCTTTTTGATGTAACGAGCACGCATTAGCATTACACAGAGAGAAACCACGAAAACCTCTTACGGTTAGCTGGCGGCAAAGGGACTCTAACCCATGATCCGTCTACCGTGTAGTTCTTGTAACTAACCCGCATTTGCGCTACACGGAGAGGAAATCCTACCACATTTAACTTGGCTGCAAGATGACTCGAACCAATAATTCGTCTACCACTGGGGATATTTTGCGTTAGTATTGTGGTCTGTGCAAGCTGGGCGCGGTATTTATATAGACCAGCCATGGCTGGTATTCGATTTATTTTGAGATAAATTACTTTGAAACGCACGTTTTTCTGGTATTAAATAGCTCCCAGCGATGGCAAATTTGTATTTTTTACTAGTTTCAGTAGCAGTTTTGGGTTCTGAGGTTGCTGTAATTTCTGTGACAAATAAATCAAATTACAATTTCTATGAAGAGTTTTTTCCTGTTTGCATCCAGGCTGAAGTACAAAGTTACAGCATCGTCATTAAGGGGACGCACGAAGTTCAAAGCAAAAGTTTTATCTTCGATCCTTTTCAAATTTCAACAAATCCCTGGTAGAAAAGTCTACACAAAGTTTCAGAAAAAAATATTTAGTTTTAAATTTATATATAAAAGTGCGATTTTTAATTGATGGTAATTAAAAAGTTCTTCTGTGAACAAATTTTATTTTTTAATTAAATTTTAACCTCAGCACGTTCATAGGCATTTAAATAAATGTATATGGTTATGGTAACCGTATAAATTTTCTATTTTGTCTCAAAAAGTTCTCCAAAAACGCACTTTAATTTGTTAAATTATTAATAAATTAAGACAATGAGTTAATGAAGTGCATTTATTATTAAACAAGGACATATCGAAGAGTAACATTTTCTTTTACTAACAATAAAATAAAAACTGAGCAAGGAACTTTTTAAAATTCTGAGAACATTGAAAAATTAACTTTGTCAGCGAAGGCTACATATTTATGAATAGACCTTTACAAATAGATTTTTTATAACTCGGTAAGAAAAACTCTGAAACGAAATTTGTTGCCTGCAAGTAAGTAAAGTGTAAATATTTTTTTAAATGTCTCAAAAACCAAATAAATGGATTTTTGAAGGATTCTCTTTATTTTGAACGTCTAGTGTCCCATCAAGCTAACATTCAGATTTATGTTTAGTATTACGAACGTCTTCTATGAAAATTGACAATTTTTACTTTACGGAGTAACTTAAAAGTTTAGGTTGTGTACAGATCAATAAGGAAGTCCGTAATCGTGACTGTTAATATTGTAACGTATCTAGCTATATCAAGAAACAGTTATTTCACACCACAAATATAGAAAATCCTGTAACTGGTTAGAATAAGCTTACAAAAAAAAAAAAAAAACATAGAAAAACCCGTAACGGATTAGTATAAACTTCAAATTTAAAAACCCTAAAAACTATCTTTAAAAAAAAAAAAAACGTTTCTCTGATGTTCGATATTTATCGCCTGCTTTTTTAATTTATCTTTTGATGTGTTTATTTTATTCATGTTTTTGCTAGCCCGTTATTTTTTAATATTTTTAGACTTTATAATACATACGGATGTGAGCAATGTTTATTCTGATGTCTCAATCCCAAATGAAATAGCCAGATACACAGATGAAACACAAAGAACGAATACATAATTTAGTTCTGTTTCAGTATTTCAACAAACTTTAGGAAAGGATGATGTTTTCACAGGCACCAGTTTTTAAGGTCAAGGAAAAAACATTGTCGAACCACCTGATTGATTCAAGAGAAAAGTTGTAATATGCTTGATACTGATTTTATAGTTTAATTTTAAAAAAGTAATATAAATTAACTATACAGCATTTATCGTAGTTTAATAATAAATCTGTTATAAATTTTCGAGAAAGGTTAGGGCAAGAGAACAGTTTTTCCTAGAAGAGGAAAGTTCGAACGCGCGAAAAAGAATTTTTTTTTCTCTCGGCGAGAATTTGAAATTCCATACGTTGATTCTTTGGTTTACTATGATAGAAAGCTGGTTTAAATGGGTTAAGATGTTTTTTTAAATTTCGCCAATTCTCAGTTTCATTATCGCTTCGAATTTCTTTGCTTTCCCCCCCCCCCCATAAATCACTGAAATAAACTCTGCTCTTTGTACATGCCAACTCGGGAGACGTCGTGACTATAAAAATTCCTTTTAGACTTTTTAATTTTCCCTAAAATTTAAAAACGAAAAATTATAAATAAAATTTTCAGAGACGGTTGAAATTTTTTGTCTACAATCGATATCAAGACGGTTTATTACGTTCTAAAATGTTTTAGTGTGATAAACTAGAGGTCTTAAAGGTAGTGACTTCGTGACAGTTTTTTTTTAAAACTTTTCTTACCATTTAGAGCAATACTACATTAAAAAAATGTAATGCGGGTATATGTTGCAAAATATTCAAAGCTCTAGATTGCGTAAAAGACGAAATATTGAAAAATAACCCCCACTTTACGTGGTCCTAAAGTAGTGGGGATTTAATAGACTATGTCAATCTTCATCAATCAAACGGTTCCTCCTGATGGATCATGTTAACATGTGTTATATACTATTGAATTGGTATTTAATATTTATAGTGGTAGTTACTCGGCAAAGCAACTCCACTTTAGGATAGGCAATACTTTTGCAATAGGCACACGTGCCTTCATTGCATATATATGCGTGTAAGAAACATAGCAGAAGTGAAAATAAATACCCGCATCACCAGTACGGCCTCGTTACCATAGTCATCTGACGGTGACTATGACGAGGTATAACTATTTCACGATAAGGAGGCATAACTATTTCACGTAGGGGTGTGGGGTCATTGCTTAGGACAGGTTTTGGCTCAGATCGATGATAGGAATCTTTTTCTGCTGTCTACTGTGTTAGCCGTAGAGTGAAGAGAAGCTACCCACTCTGAAATGCGCTATTCTTGTTTCCATAGCAGCAGTAGGTTTCAGATTGTGTGGCGGCGGGAGTTCATACCGTAGACAAACTATACTATAGACTGGCCCGACGTGAATGAAGAAAATAAAACCAGAGATTTAAAGACATAAGTTTCTCACCAACTCTCCAAAGCGAAATGCAACCTGCCCGGATTTACATGTTCCGGCTACCACAGATTCTAGATCATGTCGATTTTTTCCGCCTTTGTAATTTCTGAAGCAAATAGGGTTTTAACTACCGAGCAATTGAAAAATCAACGTAAGCGATAAAAAATTCAAAATTGAAATTTTTATATATTTAGCATTTTTATATATTATATGGTAAGCTCTATATTGCAAGAAAATTCTTTTCAAAAATAAATTTAATTTCCTCAGTTTTATTGGCATTCTATTTTAGCGTTTATAGCATGAACAAATGAAAGAAAATAATTGTCAAACCACTTTTCTCGCAATCAATTGTGAAGCGCTTATAGTTTGTCTGCGGTAAGAACTACTCCCACTACAAAGACCGAGACCATCTGCTGCTATGGAAGCAAAAATAGCGCATTTCAAGGAGAGTAGTTTCTCTTCACTCTACGGCTAACACAATAGAACGAAGAAAAAGATCCCCTTTCTCTCGCCGAGCCAAACCTAAACCTGTCCTAAGCAGTGACCCCACACCCCTACTTGAAATAGTTATATCTCGTTACCATAGTCACAGCCACGGGTTCAGACAAAGTGCTGGGAAGTTCTTACTTTAGACAAACTATACGTTGTTTTCTCAATTCAGAGGGCAGCTTCTCTTCACCTTAGGGCTAAAACAATAAACCGATGAAAAGGAGTCCCTTTCTCTTCCCGACCAGACCCAAAACTTGCCCTAAACTTACCCCACACTCCTATTTGAAATAGTTCTACCTCGTTGCCATAGTCACCGTCACGAGTCCAGACGAATAGTTCGGGGAGTTCTTACTTTAGACAAGCTGTATTGAAATATAATCAATGTTAAAACAAAGTATGACGCATAAGATCACCGGTTCAGGGCCTTAAATCATAGCCCATTAGGAAAGAGAAAGGTGGGGAAACCCGATTAATAAATATTAATTTTCTTTCCTGATATTTAATATTTATCGTGTATTTAATAAATACTTACTAAAACACATTTTTTTCATATCTCTATGTGATTTTGTATGAAACTCCTTTTCTTTTTAAAAATTAAACTTTTTATTTTTTTAAAGAGTTACCGTTTTCTCAATTGTTACCGTATAAATTCAAAACTAAATCTGGCGCAGTGATTAAAATTTATCATCAGATGCTTTACTTCTTTATTTCTTTTTTTTAATTTTTTATTTATTATTTTTTCTACATTGTGGTGGCTTTTGATAAACCGTTTGGCTTAATTTTTCTTGTCTACTTCGTAATATTATATTATTCATAAAATGGCTCGTAGTGTCAAAGAAACAACGAACATCATCCGAACTTGATTATTCCCCCCCCCCATTCTATTAGCGGTAAATCAGTTCGGAATAATGTAAAGCCTGTAAATCGACCCCATTCTACAGCGCAGTAGACTTTTAAGAAATAGTATCAAAAACTAGGTATGTAAAGATTGTCCTGCCAAATTAATGAAACTCAATCAAATAGTTATAGTTCGAAAATTTCTGAAACATTCACGTTTTTAGCGTTGTAAAAGTTTCGGCCGAATTTAATGAAATTTTTCTTCCACAATTTTACCCGAAACTGTTATACAAGTTTTCAAAGTAGCTGAATTAAAAGGAAGTTCTGCCGTTGGAAA